TGGGGTATATGCGGATGTTATTATACTATACCCAAAGCCATATTCAATCTACTTAAGGTGGACTATACACCCAAGACCTGGAACTCTGACTCACCGCTCACCAAAGTTCTTCAGGTTCTCAGTACTCACGTCCACGGGCGGATCTTCAGCAGAGGTGATAATTTCCAAGCTGCGATGGGCCAGGTATGCCTGCAGTCCCAGATGTTTTAGGTGTATGGAATATTTGCAGAGACCAGAAAAGCGGTGTCTTATTGCACTTGTAGGCGTTGGAGCCCTCAATGACCCCGGCAAATAACTTGCACACCCTAGCTGCACTCTTGAAAAAAAAAATCGCACACTCCCTCAGAAACCCTCGACGGAGCATACCCTCTGCAAGATGATCAGAAAACAACACGCCCACAGCTAGCTCTGCCTTTTCAAAGCTTCAAAACCCTCGGTGCGTGAGCAGATGCAACAACGCAGCTGATCATGAAGAATTGAAGTGCGCAGGCACACCGCCTGTACTGCTGCACTACGCGTGTGTAATCCATGGCGTCCGGAAGGCCCGAAGAACCGGCCCGAACTGTGGTGTATCGGATTCTTAGGGTCGGGGTTTAGAGTTTAAGGTTTCGGTATACGGTTTAGGGTCAGGGTTTAGGGGCTTAGGTAGGTTAAAGTTTGGGATATCGGGCTTCGGACTTGCAATAGGATTTCAGCAGTGATAAGTTCTACTGCTAGCTACGGACAACTATACTGGAAATAGACTATCTACTCAAGCGCACATGGCTTCGTCGGCCGGGCTTGGCGATTCCAGCGTACGCATTACATCAATCAATACACTCAAAGCTTTATCGTCCCCTCAAAAACCCTATATAATCCCTGGGTCCCCCCCAACCTCGCGTGGGCTCCAATCGCTTATGTCCCAGATCCTATTTGTCCCTGCACCTTAAGGAATCGACTTGAATTGTTGAATGCTGGAGAACCCTGGGGCAACAAGGGTTAATATTACCCCCAATAAACCAATAAACCAAATGAAAAGATGATGGGAAAGAAATGGAAATTTGGTTATATACGGCAATCGGAAGCTGGGCGACTTGTTCGGATGTTCTTGGGCTTTGTAGGCCTAAGCTTGACACTCACTTGCAGGGCGTGAGTGCATTTACTTGCCGACAACACACTCCTTGCACAGATCCCTCAACATGTGAAGCCTCAAAAATTGTTGTACAGCTGAGCAGGGAATATATCTGATCCATTGTAAGATCTTGCACTGAACACTCAATCCCAAAGCTCAAATTCTGCATCCGCGCCGTTCCCTACCCCTCATCCCTAAAAGATCCTGAACCCTAAACCCATTTCCGAAACCCTACACGCTAAACCTCGGAACCAAAACCGAATCCCAAAACGGCTAAACAAACCTAATACCTTCTAGATGAAATTCAACAGGAGGCCTCATCGCTCAACCCGTTGCCCTTTTCACCTAAGCCCCAAGGTGGAAGAGCCCCAGTCAATCATCCGCGGAATCAAAAGACACACCCTAACAATCAGCCTTCCTTGTACAGGGACCCCACAAAATACCCTTGCCAATCCTGACAAGGCTGAAGGCTCACTTTTTGAAAGGTGCCGTGCTGATTGTGGCCAGCGGGTATGAAGGAAACAGGTGTGCTTAAGGGAGCGTGGGGGAGTAAATGTTATTCTCAAAATTATGGGCCCCTTTGGGTTCTACATTATTACGGCACCTAAAATTTAAGGGCCCCTAATTTTGGGAACGACCCATATAGGGATTCTTATAGGGCTCCACGCCTCCACTCTCCCTGAAGCTCCAATCAGCAAACCCTAAAGCCGCCCTAAAGCCCTACTTCCCACTTTGAGGAACCTGACGGTGACTTTACAACTGCAGCCTTCCAAGCGAACCGCCAAAAAGGCTTTCCAGCTTCAATAGACGCCCCAGGAAAAACACTCAGTAGTCCCGCACACACTAAGCCCAATACTGCTGCTGTAAGGCCTGTTTACGCAGAGTAGCGTTTGCGGAGCTGCAACAACCGGAGTATACTGCATGCCTCCATTCTGGATGTCAATAATCTTGAAGGTTTTGCTGCAATCCCATTCATATTGAGCTCTAAAGAGCAGATATCCGTTGCGATTCTTCTGCGTGTCGAACTCTGGAGAGGCGATCAACTGCGCGTTGGCACATATTTGTCTAACATACGGGGCTATGGAGAATAAATCAAGCTTCTTCTGTATCCTTTAGCCCTAAACCCTAAACCCCTAAACCCTAAGTCCCTCAACCCCTAAATCCCTAAACCTCCAGACCCTAAATCCCTAAATCCCTAAACCCTGAATCCCTAAACCCTAAACCCCTAAACCCTAAACCTCTAAATCCCTAAATCCCTAAACCCTAAACCCCTAAACCCTAAAACCCCCAAACCCGCACTCCCTAGAACGGGCTTACGATCAACGTCACCAAGGCATCGGACCTGGGCTTCGTGTAGCGGCTCATGGTTTCCAGATCATTTCAGGGTTTCGCATTTTAAGGACTAGTGTTTAGGGTTTAGGGGTTGAGGGTTTAGGGGTTTAGGTTTTAGGGTTTAGGGGTTTAGGGGTTTATGGCTTAGGGTTTAGGGGTTTAGGGGTTTAGGGTTTAGGGTGTCTCAGTGAGGGGGTGCGCTGGTGCTAGAAGCACCCAGGCGCGCACCCCGACTTGCAGGAGCCCACC